GGGGGGGGGGGGGGGGGGGGCGAGAGGAAGTATACCTAGCGGGATTTTCGACGTGGATTACCGCTATAGAATTTATGAATGGGCCTGTTCCATTCAAATCGGTTCATTGGCACGCGTAGGCGTCCCGACGCTTAGTCAATAAACCGCTTACGATGCTGCTTGTCTAACGTAAATCGGCCGAAGGCGCGCGACAAGCGTCACAGATGCCTTTATTGTGTAACAGGGAAAATTTGGAAGGTGGAATCTACTTTAGTGCCTATACACGTATACAGGGTTATTCACGAAAAACGCACCATCCGAAGGTACCGTAGATACCAGAGAAATGGAATGAACGGGTTAACGGGTGGTCCGTTCTGACTGAATGACCCGGTATATATGCGTGTATATGAATATAAAGTAATCGTACTGTGCCTTTTATGACGTCACAGTTATTACCGCCATCAAAGTAAGAATGCCTGATCTTTAATGTAAAGACGTAAACCTTGACTTTATACGCAGGAACCTTGAACGCACTGCAATAGTGCGTTACTCGTAACTCCTGTCGTTTCCCATTACGTAAGGGCTGCTTTTTACACGTTAAACGTGATCTGATCTCATGGGAAGCGATTACGATTGGATTGCATCGAAGTTGTTTTATAAATAGAGGTGAGGAAGGATTACGGGAAAGAAGCATAACCTATGGCGAACTACGTGGGATCAATTAGTATTTTAATTAAAGTATCGATCGTCAAGGTTAATCGCGTAGAGGGACAGATATATTAATTTAAATTACATGCTCGTATATTGAATTATCGTATATCGATAATCGAATTGTGGAGTTCGATAATGAAAACGATATGACGATTTGCAAGGTTGCGCCAGTTAAAATTGCCTGAGAAGAAATAACAAAGCTGCACGTAGAGAGAACGGGGGCCCGGTGGGATAATTAATTAATAATAAAATCCTGCTTTAAAATATTCCATCAACAAGCGAAGAAGTATCGAGAGAAAGATATGAATTTCAATGCGGCATCGTAACGATGCTACGAGGATTATAAACAGTGGCAGAAATCCGAGCTGGTTATAAAATACTATACGCTCTGGGCACCGTGCATAGAGATTTCTGTAACTCCTAACTACAATCTTCGAGCCTCGTTTTTCTCCGTGTACGAACCCAATGGTGGTTTTGATTCTGGTTTGGCTTCGTTCCAGAGGCTACAGGGCATTTCACGTTTTGTTTGTCCCTTTCAAAATTCAAGCTGAAAATATCATCCGCACGCGACGATATAAAGAAACATAAGGCGGTACCGATAAAAGGAACTAAGAGACCGGGGGGCGGGGGAAGGGAATGTTGATTTATCGTCTGCTAGAAAAGTTTGCCAACTGACGTTTCAATAGACAAATGACGTACACGATTTTCTTACGTCATAACACAGCTAAAAGACTTTTCGTTATAGTTTCTGTCGATTGACCCGATACCGAGTCGTGAGCTTTTTTCCTTTTTGTTTGTATCTTTTACCGTCCATCATTTTATACCACAGAGAAAATGGAGGCGTCAGGACGTTGCTACGTCGTATCTCTCTGTTGTCTCAAGTTTCACTCTCGGGAGCGTCAATTAGCGTCAATGGCCATAGGGCCGGTTTGCAACGCGCGACTAAATAAACCAATCTATATGGTAGTACAGCTGTCACTCTGCGATCTTATTAGGTCAGCAGTGTCGTGGCGGTATGTACCGTGCGTCCTAAATTTCAGTACTAATTTCAACCAGGATTCATCCTTGTCTTTTGTCTTTCTCCCTCGCACCCTAAACAACCTACTTTCGCCTTTCGCCCCCTCGTTGCTTTACGACTGCCAGTTTACGATATCAACTCCGGGCACAGGAGGAAGAGGAAGGCTTCGCCGAAATGTCAAAGTGGGTCGAACCCTGGGCCACTATCGATATTCCGGGTAATCGATACCCAAGACTTCGGGGTGGCCATGTTTAATCGGGTTCGCGTATCTTTCGTTCCGTGAAGAAAAAAATATTTAGATCCCACGCCAAGAGCCTCGGTCGATAAGGACCGCGCTTTTAAAGGCTGTGTATACGTATACACATCGAAGCGAGAGTCTGATTAGAGATTTTATTGTTAAACAAAAACAATTCTTCTAATCTGCGCAATGCCTATATTTTTTTATGTTACAAAATGGACTTTTAACGCGATGACGAATTTTATTCTTTCCGCTCACGATAGAATTATGCTGTTACTCGTGTATATAGCTGCTACGCGAAGATCGTTCGGGGCCACTGTGAATTGCTATAAAATTTTCACCACTTCTTTTTGTGCATATTTGTCGAAAACACTCGAGAAGAAAAACCGGCAAAGACACGGACACCGCGTATTCGCGCGCGAAGACTCACAACGGGAATAACAACTGGCTATTCCGCTTCCGCGAACGCTCTATGGTCTTAGTTAGCGTTACTCGTGGGCTGCATTGTCGCCGCTTTTGCTCGGCAAAGTTGCCGGTACGCTTCCTGGTTCTCCCGTTTCTCGTCGCGTCTTGCGGATCGCCTTGCGTGGCTTGCGATTAATTCGCTTGCTGGCATCGCGTGACACTGGCGATATTTGACATATGCGAGGCTTTTCTTTTTTTTTTTTTTTTCCCGGTAATTTTTCTGCATTCAGTTACGATCACAGGCATCGACGCCCATCTACAGTGTGGTCACAATAAAATAATATGAGTCGTCCGATAGCGACTCGGCGATTATATGGAAAGTGGCTAAGCGAAGTCCGTTCAAAAATTCCGCTCGGCGTCGTTAATCGTGAATGTTTATGCGATAAATGACGAGAATAGCGAATGACGCAAAGGCGGCAACGAATGGCGCGATACGTTCGACCACACAAACGCTTGGAATAGCCAGGACCGTTAATGAAGAAAAAAAAAAACGCACGGCTTCAATGAAATTCCGCATAAATTGACCGTGCAAGAAAAATAACCGTAAGAGAAAAGAAAAAGACTCACCAAAAGTCTCCCGTAATGATTGTAGAAATTTCCATCGCACTGAACAGTCGACAACATCTTGCTTGTGTTCGATAGCATTTGACGATCATTGAAGAAATGTCAATTACTTTTTTTTTATGTTTCACGTAAATCATTCGAATCATTTAAATTTCACAGAAACATCAACGACCTTCGAATATTAAGCCAATTCCCGTATTACGGTTCCCTGATTCATCTTTGATCCCCGTCATCTGGAACTGATGCTCTACGTCATCGAAAATCAAGATCGCGATGACTGCCACGAGAAGATATCATTTCGCAATGACTGCATAACCGAGTCACCCGGTGAGTGTAAAACAACTAGAACGTGTCGAAGGCAAAAGCCGACAGAACTCGGATAGAGCGCGTTTAGTAGTCGACGAGCAGGAGAGGTTAGGGGAATCGAGTATGCGCATGCGCAGTGTCCCAATAGAAGCGCCCCCTGCGGGTAGTTCCGTCACTGTCCTTCGTATAGCGTCGTCCTTCTCGCTCTGCATCAACTTCCTCCTTTTTGCCTCCTAGCCTCTTTTTGCCGAACCACTCGTTTGCCACGGACGTCTCTTTTCATGATCTCCTAACAAATGGTTACCGGTCGAGTCTGTAATCGCAATTGCAGCACCGCGATTGCTCCTGACGAAGAAAAAGAAGAAAAAAATACCTCCCGCCACGATTTCAAACCACCAACCTTATATTTCCCATCCAAACATTTTTTTTTAACCACCGCCAACCTTCTTTTACCCTCGCGCACCCTTATCGATTCCCGTGCCATTTCATTGGTCCTGCCGTGATTTGCCTGACGGTTAAAAAAAAAAAAGACCAGGAGCGTCGGTAACGTTTGAAAATGGAGACGCGCAATTTTTTAATATCTCGTATCAGATGTACGAGACAAAATCTTATTTGTCTGGATACGTTCGTAAATGATCCCGAGGCCATTTGCCGCGTCCTTGATCCTCGATTGCTTTTTGATTGGCCACGATTGGTTAATAGGCTCCCGGCTCAATTTGGAAAATAGGACGGTCGCGTCTTTTCGTGACGCAATTCCTTATGGCGTTTTCAATTGCACCAAACGTATACGGCGTTATCTCGCTCGGCGTCTCTCCCGTGTGTACCAGAATGGCGCAGGTGCCTAAGACAATTTCGTTGCAGGTGAACAAACGACGCATCGTCGTTATTAGGATATACGGGAACCGTTTAAGCCCCAAGAATACCGGAAGCGGAACTTTACTGTACCGTGTAATAATAACACGCGGTTGGTTCCGAGCCATTGCGTTTTTCCTGGTATATTAATAGCCAAGTTCTCCCAGTACTGTTTATAATAAATGATGCTCCTATTAAAAAGGGTACGTTGCGACTCCCGAACGGTGCCCCCGCTGCTATTTACGGCCCTGGGTCTCGAAGTACGGGACTCGCGACGCCGGAAGACGCTATTCCCCATTCCCTCTCTTCATCTTCCTCCCTCTCTCTACCGCCCCTCTCACTCACTCTCTCTCTGTCTCTCGCCAATACCAAAAGTCGAACACCACCCCGGGATGAGACTGCGAATTCGCGCGAAACCGATAGCGTATCATAAATCAAATGATCCGTCCTAGCCATTGGTTGGGCCCAGCCCGAGGGGGTTAGTGGTGGTTAAGTGGAAGAAAAGGAGTTCATAAATTTCGATGCACTTAGCTTGGCCGTCAAGAAGAGGAAACCAAGAGAGGCCGGTATATGCATTTCTGTTGAATGTGGTTAACGGTAGCCGATAACGAACCATCCGCCCCAAAATATAAGAGCCGACCCCTTAAATCCATCGTCGACACTTGAGATTTCTCAAATTGCCGAACGGTTCCTGCTCCTCTTTTCTCGTACTCTATGTCGTCCCACCCAGTTCTGTGTTTTTTTTTTTCGTCCACCCCTTCTCAAACAGCGGAAAGGGTTGTTACGCTACCGAGATCGGAGTAACTCCTGAGTGACAGTATCCACGTGTTTAAATTTAGATTTAAATGCAGCCGGGTAACTCAATGGTTTCTGCTTCTGTGGTTTCACTGGTGCAGTTGTGTATATGCGTGTATAAGGGGTAAGCAACCCTTGGGAGATTGAACAGAGACCCCACCAATCCTCTTTGGTGTATCCTAAATAAATCTAAACTCTGCAGTGCAGATGCCGCGTGCTGAAGGATTTCAAAATAAATTTTGCTCCAGGTCAATTTGATCTGACGACCATGCACATCGATATTGGCAATTTTTCTTTTTTTTTTTTTTTTTTCGCAAACGAGCCTCCAACCACTCGTTTCCTTATTCCCTTTGGGAATCAAAAATGATTGCTTATGGTGTTACAAGATTTCCTGAGGTCTAACTGGGTCGCATGTCATCCTTTAGTAAGACAAATATTGACAAATGACGACAGACACGCTACACAGGAATGCCAGCGTATTGTACGTGCGTATATAACAGCCTCTTTTCTGCCTAACCTAACCCCTTGGTTCCACCCTTGTTTTACGAGTCGAACACGCGTACGGGACAGCTTGCTGGCGAGTGCCCATTGACAACTGACAGCTGGGGTCGGTTAGGACCTGTCAACTACTGTTACTAAAAATTCTACACTTCCAGGCGCCCCGGTAAAATTCGACCGGAGAAATTCGATTTTTCACCCCTATCTCTGACAGTCACAGGGAATGCAATATTTTGGAAAATTTGAAATTTCTTTTCATTTCCAGGACCATAGCTCGGAGGCGTAAAACACAGTTTGAAAAGTTTCTACGGGTAGCGCCCGTGAGATGTTTATTTGTTTGGGGTAAGATGGGGCAACCCCAAACACGGGATACAGAGTCTTAAAGACTTTAGTCGGGCCACCCAGCCAGTACGAAATATAGACTGTAAAGGAACGTATACATACGTTAGTGGAGTCAAGGAAGACCGAAAACGTATGGGCCATTGCGCACGAGTGGCTAAGGGTAGTAATTCTCAAAGCGGAATGGTGCTCGTGTCTGGGAATCGTTAGTTACGGAGGCTCGGCAGCCGTAATGGAAAGCAGGAATCGAAATAGGATTTTGCTGATGGATTTTCATTAAGCTGCGCAACCTGCTGACCCAGAAGCAAAAGGAGAAACAGAGAAGTACAGTGTTCCGCCGGGAAGGGTACGGCGCGGCAAGATTATATGGGGGACGAAATAAAAAAAAACAAGGGTAGAAACCTTCAATTGGATATAAGGGGTTGGTATGCATGCCGATAGACCCGGGAACAGCAGCACGTGCACCCCTGGATAAGGTCACGATAGTCGCGTAAAATCTCTGACCTCCTGACCTACCTGCAACCCCTCCATACAATATATGCGCGACCCCTATGTGGCAAATATTCCTAGGCAAACCACTAAGGGATGTAGAACTTTGAAAATTAACTCAAAATAAATTCACCCTGTTGGAATTTCTTTGCTTGAATGTTCTCAAAACACTCACCGTGACTTGTTGACTGTTTGTCGGACTGGGACTTGGGCTAGGGGTTGAATTCGGCGTGGACGCATCCCCCGGGCCCAGTAAACCACTGGGCGAGGTTGAACCACCCGCGACACTTCCCACAGTCGGAAACGCTCGTGCAGGATCCGCTTGCCATTGCTTGTGTATCTGCTGTGAGGTGTCGCGAAATCTTGCGCCCTGTAAATAAATGTAATAAATTAAAAATTTTGTAATTCAAAAATTTATAAAAATACATTTTTAAGAAAACTAAATAAATACGAAGAATTACGTATCCACGTAAATATTAATTGAGTCACTGCCTTGGCAAAGGTCAATTGGCACTAGACACGCCTCGCATTCCACTTTGTGGAAAAAGAAGACTCTGAAAGTGACTCTGGTGTCATGGAGTACAGTCATTTCCGTTATTAAACCATCTGCGTCCTTGACTGGAGACAGATCAGCGAATATTCTCTACGTAAATACTTGAGTAATTCCCGAAGATAGGATTAGATAAGATAGCAGTATCCAACGCGAGCTGAACGTTGATAACGACAGATTGGAATAACGAATATTGAACCGGATATACAGGCTGAAGGGTATAACCGTGAATCACGAAAAAATTTGTCTAAATTACTAAATTGAACGAAAAAAATGAAAAAATGAACTTTCTAATACGTAAACCCTACGTAGTAACTATATAAAAAAACATACGAATCGCGTGCGAATATTCTCTAAGAAAGGCTTAGAAGCCTCGGGCTCGGTAATTGGCACTTACGCAACGATCCATCACGTTGATAATTAGCATCGTGGTTGAATAATGACAGAAATAAGAACGACGAAAGAAGCTGAGACGACGACCGTTACTTTAAACATTAAAAAAAAAAAAGAATTCTAAAAATTTACTTGCACGGGTCTTATTATTATATTTATATACACAAATGTTAGGTATGTCGCGTGGCAGTCGGTTACATACATAAAAGAGGGAGCATACCATACGCGAAGCACAATGTGTGTACATATGTAAGTACGTATCATCAGAGCCGTGATGCATTATATTACAAGAAGCTATTTATAAAACCGGACAAAACGACTAGAAACACACATGGCGACGTACTTGATGCTCGAGGAAATTTCGTAGTAGAGTTGTCTGGATAACACGTGTCATACGCGGGAGAATTAATAGGAATACCACGTGCTGCTGGTGAAGTTGTTCATGGATAGATCGACGACCTATATTTATCGATGTGAAATAGCTGTAACGCAACAGTGACGTAACGATTGGAATAAAATCCAGGAAATTATTCGGCGTATTAATAAAATATTTGCAGCTTCGCGATAACAACAGTTTCCATGCGTCATTGTAGGCGGTTATAAACAATGACAATGATGTGTCTTATATCGTCGGTGACTTGATTATCCATAAAATGACGTATTACCTCACTGAAAAGTTCTTCCAGTTCTTTAGGAGCAATTTTCGCCTTCATCCTGACATCACGTTATTCCTGTTATTCATCCCACAGGAAATTAATGGAGAAATTGTATATACATTGTATATATAAGAATTTAACATCAGTCCTGTACTTTGTATATGTATATATATATATGTGTATATATAGACCCATAAAAAATATGCCGGACCTTTTCTTTCGTACAGTCTCAGTCCTTTTATTCTCGCTTACTTTTTCTTTCACCCGCCATCTTTCAGTTTCAGTTTCTTGGTTACTACCGGCTTTTTGGATATATATATATAAATAGTCCGTGACGTGGCACGTAACGCACGAGTGAAGGTCGTACAGCTTCCAGCATCATATGCTCGATTAACACTCTAGCGAGAATCATGATGTTCCTGTTGGAAACTGGAGTATTGTATCATCGTCCGCCATGATGGATACCGTTATGATTACGAGAAGCGTCCATTAAAATTTTGCTATAAGTTACGCGACGCACTAATGCACTGTAAATAGAACTGCACTTTGGTTCATGATGCGTAAACAGCGCCAGACAGCCACCCGTACACGACACGAGGAGAAATAAAGAAAACAAAAAAAAAGGTAAAAAAACACTAAGAAACACGAAGACACACCATTCCCATAGGAATCCGCGTGAGTCACGAATACGTAAATACACAAAAGGTTCACGGGTTTGATCTTCAGGATCTTTGCCAAGCGATATTCTCAGGGACGCGATGAATCTGTTCAAGAAGTGACACTCGCTAGGTTATTCCGTGAGAATAAATGAAATCGACCGCTCACTAAGTCGCCATATTTTATACACGCCACTCATTTATAAACATGAAGAATTCTCTTCCTACAGCACTGGTACACTTATCCACGATACACCGTCTAACTGGTTCTCCCGCCCACGTCTTCAAAGACACTTCCGGCCATCCAACTTCTCACTCCTTCGTTTCAAACGAGACGCCTGCCATCCAGCCATTTTTCAAAAGACGTTCCGACGGCCACAAAATCAGCCGTACCAACCGAATCGATAATCACGAGTATAACACAAGTCGTACGGAACGACTTCACGATCGGAACGTGACTTCCACACTGATCTCTCTCTTCCTCTATCTGTTTCTCTACTGCACTAGTTCACTATAAGATAAACGTCTCCTAGATCGGTAGCAAAGCCAAGCGTCCGTATCTAATCGACTCTCCATTTTTTTCGATCACTGCCGCAAGAAGTTACGACATTGTTCAAAACACAGCACCGACACTTTAACACAATATTAAATCACTACTAACTACAGTATCGATCGCGTGAATATCCCGTCAATAAATATCGATCCGGCAGTGAATCCAATCGGTAGTCCATAAACGATCAAGACACGTGGGTTATGTATCCGTCGGATGAATGAAATATCCGATCTTCTCAATGATTCAGCATTCCTTGATGACCTCGCGTTCTACACGCCAGTGTTGCGTTGACTTGGCTTCGTAGTTATAGGTTAGGTACGCCGGTTGGTATACCTAGCTTGGTTTCTGTCTCGTTACCGGTTCCTTCGGAGAGCAGCGGTCGAATACGGGTGCACTAGTCGACTGTAGACAAAATACGGCAGCGCTGCCGGTATGAGAGTCGAAGGACAGACGAACGAGACAGGCAGTACGTCGCATGTGCCAGGAGCTACGACGACGGTCGACGGTTGGCGTCGTTATAGACATCAGGAGGGTCGCGGGTCGCGTATCTCAGGATCCTAAAGGAGGGGAACTGTTGTTTAATGCTATAGTAAATGCAATGGATATCGGTATACGCTGAGTATACGACTCGAAGTGTTTCTTATTGCGTAACCGATCGCTACGTGGGGATATACAATGACGGTATTGCGTGCAATTTTACAGGACGACGTAGAGACAAACGTGAAATCACGAGAAATCCCAATTTCACTGTTGATTTAATAGAGGTGGATCTTATGACAAGTATATCATGTGGTAGACATATGTATATATGTATTTACTTTATTTCAATTCGAAAAACGTTCCACCGTACTAAAAAACTGTTTGACTAATTAATATATACATATATTTAGCTATGATTGTGTCACTGATTTGTAAACTAAACAAGTATAAAGATTGGAATTGTGTATGGTGCATATATATAATCAAATATTTATTAATATTGTCAGTGTGACGACTGTGTTTAATCTCTTAGCGGACATCATTTTCTGGCGTCCTCTCCTTGTACAACTGGTAATATACAATATATCTGTTGAAATTGATACTTTTTTAAATTTTAATGGCGATACTCGAATCGTCAAAAAGCGTAGAGTCCAAGTAAATCAATCTGGACTCGACAGAATAATTTTGCGCAAGGTTATTAAGTAAAATGCAAATATAGCTGGAAAGAAATCGGAAAAAGTGGTGTTTTCGATTTTTTATCGGATTTTTATTTTATTACAAAGTACACAAAAAAGTCGGTCGGTTTCACAAACTAAAGGCATCCTTTTATAAGACTATTTTACTAGTTTTGCTTATGGCCGCAAAAAGGTATATTTATTTCGCACAGTGAAAGTACGTCATCAGTTTTTTTCGAAGCTTACACACTTTTCCTGCTACTTGATATAAAATTGACATTTTTTAAAATTAAAACACCGAAATTAAAAGCTAAAAGTCTCTGCTTTCAAATTGTCACAATGATCTTGGTTCCAAGTGTAGAATTCGTCAAAACTTAGGAGAGGCTTAAAAGGAACGTCGCCTGGATGAGATAACGTCTACAGGGCGTTGATTACCTGGTACAACCAAATAATCTAACGTAAGTATAATTGAAGTGCGTGTGTGTGTTAGAGGAGCGACACGATTACCACATAATAAAAAAACACGTGACAATTTTACATGTTTCTCACACGCTTACCTTCTTCAAATAAAATCTACACACATTGAAAATCGCTGAATTTTTTTTCCACGCCCAAACTTTCCTTTAGCTCTGAAAGAATAAAAAAAATTTGAAAAATTCTATACTTTATGAAAAAACAGTTTCTCGATCACTCCCGTAAAATCTGATTGAATATCTTACCCAGAGTGCTCTTGAATGCCTATTGCTCGACTCACAGGGCGCAACTTGCATTAAAAATCCATGTTACGCTCCAAACAATTCTCTTAATTTTCCAGACACGTGGCCACTCCACATTTGATCGCTTGGAAATGTAATTCCTTCGAACATTGCACTGGGTGGCATACTACCCAGTTTGTCCGCCAGAGGGTAAATATTGAGACTTTTGAAAGATCAAGCGATTAGACTGATCATCGTGAAAGTTATGCCGAATATGGTTGGCAGGCTTGGCTCAAGTCGTAAAGTCGGCCAGGCGTTTCCATGTGCGTTAGCGTTAAGCCTTCTCGTTGCTGCGTGTGCAGCTGAATTAGCCGGCGATCCGTGTGGGTGTCACTGTAGGTGTGAATGTTATGGCTCGGAGTTCAGTGCTCGTGTCTGAAGGTAAATCGTAATCGCACAGAAAAATACGTACGCGCTGAGCTTTTAGCGAACGTAAGGTTAGACGCTACATAGAAATAACATAGGTTAGTCGAGTCTGGTACGTAATAAACATGAGTACGAATCTGTTTCTCTGTCAAACAGACGTTCTGTTATTCGAATCCTTAAAGGACTGCGATAGCGATCGGCATGGCGGATGTCAAATAAAAGTTTGATTAATAAATAAAGAACTGAAAGTGCTCCATTAAGATTTCTAATCGAGTCTCTAATACTTAGAAGCGATCCCGACTCGTTGCGCCGCCAGTGAGACGCGAAGATAACCGATTCGGCCCGACGACAAATTAATTCGTTAGACGTCAACCACACAGGACATGCGAATGAATAGATCGATGTCTGATCTATGATCAGGCATTATTGCCCAGAGTAATTATCATACAGAACGACGTTTCTTTTTTTGCCATCTTGAACCTTCAGCCAGTGAATAAAAAGAAGCTAGTAGATATATACGTATATATGCCGGACGAGTGTTTATTCGATTCTCAAAGTTCTGCATTGTGCGTCCTGTCGCTCGATGTGTGCGTGGCCTTAAGGTATCGAGTGAGGTGCTCCTATCGAAAGGATGGAATGCAAACATAAAGGCAGTGTATGCACTGGAGACCCACGTGGGTGGCTGGCTAAGTGGGCAGAGTTCTGAACGCTTGAGAACCCGGCTTAAGGACTGCGTTAGAATAAGAATAAAGAATAAATTGGTTTTTTTTAACCTTTCGGCCTCTCGGAAGATCTCGAAGGATGAAACAGTCTGTTAGGATATAAAATAAAGGCAGTTTTATTGTAAAACGAGGTTAAAAATATTTATCGGTATCTCAAGTGGATGGCAGCCTGAATAAAGTCGATTGAGAAGAAAAATCAAATGAGATAAATCCCTATGAAAAGATGCCGATAGCCTAATTCTGAAATTTCACCATATTAAATGCCACATGGAACGTAATCAAGCCTTTCCTCATTAATTAGTATAAATAACGAGTTAACGAGAAGTCAATGGGTCTTTCACTATCCTTCGCATGGGCTTGTTATCGTTCCGTAGTACTACGAAGTCTTTTTATATATTTATACACGATAACAACGATCGATAAGGTCTTTACGTAAACATCGATACCAGCTGCCACACTGACCCAGATTGCCCTAGCTCAGATCCAGCTCCCTTCCAAATCATACTCCATAGCCGACGATTAAAATTTAAAAAGAGCCAGTGTGAACGAAGCTTAAAGCTCAGAGTCCTCAACCCGCAGGATCCGAATGAGAATGGGAACAGTCGTTCTCCAATGTTGCGGTAGCCCAAGGTTATCCAGACAGAAGACGTCGGGACGAAGTCAGGTTGCCATGCAAATATTTGGCCGAGGAAAAAAAATCTTAAAAAAAAAATATAAAATTTACACGGACCACGCAATCAGCGTGCATAATTTTTTTTCTTCAAGGTCCACCAACCCAAAGAAACAATTTTTCTCTAATCCCAAAAGTCGTTCCACGGCATCCATCTTGGGAGACATAGACCCAGACACGATCCATCCTCAATGATTTCATGCAGGATTATCGTTCGAAGGGCCTTAGGGCCCGTTTCCAAGCGGCGCCTTAACGTTCGATAAATTTGTCAAGGGATCGGATGGTACGTGGCCGGACGATCTCTATCGTGCGATGTTGACGCTTGTACGATGTCACGTGCGTCAGGTGTAAGATCGTTGAGTCTCTCGATAACGATCTGATTCGATAAAACATATTGGCCATTGTCCAATGGGGTCCGATCATTTTGCCAAAGCCGATCCTATCCGATCCTATCGCTCAAGAACAAAGGCCAGGATGAGTCCGTTACAGGATCGGTATCATCGATCTTTAACGGGTTTCTCTGTACGTGATTCTTCTATTATGTCCGTGTATATCTCTATATACATACATAATATACACACGGTCCTTGATACATGAATGTCCTTCGACTTTCCCACGGACTTCAATTATGCCCGACACCTTTTAACGTGCGTGTACATTATACACACAGTTTCAAAAGTGCTTAGAAGCGTAACGAGAGTGATGCTAGAAGAATTACTTAACATGCTTGACTGTACAGTGTACAATATAATTATTTATATATATATATATATACATATATGTATGGAAACATGCACAGAAGATCGAATAGGAAGAAAAGTCATGGCTATAGATAACACAAGGCGGTATAATCCACGTGAGCGGCCATTATTGTCGGCAAACTAGAGAAATTAACATAACTAGCAGAGAGTCGGTGAAAATGAAAGTAAAGTGGATTGTGGAAGCCAATGGCGGATTTCCGTGATGCTCTCCCAGTCGGAATAAATATATTTCTACCCGAGAGCTTTTACCTTCTTAATTGATACCATGAATTATTTACGAATCTTAGAACTCCCGGTAGTTCTCCTTGACACGTTTGTCATAACAATCATAACAATTGAATTTTCGCCAATTTTTACCTATCGCGTTTCAAGATCTAGCCATTTGTTCCGGTTTCCTGTTACGAAAGCGACGCCCGGCTCCGATTCGTCTGATGAGATAAGGCGAGTGTGATTTTACGTGAAAAAAAGGAAAACAAAATTTTTTTTTCTTTCTCCAACCAACTTTCTCTTCCGTGTCGCCCGATAAGAGACCACATGTGTGACCACGCACGAGCGAAACAAACGTGTAGCGGCTTAGGAAGGCACGAAGCTACAAACCTCGACTATTCGTGTACATATATATATATATATATTCTTTCTCTTTTAAGGTACAAAGTGTCTGGCTTACATGTTAAGTCACCCGGTACCGGTTTTGTCATACACAGCGTGCGCCCTCCGATTCTGAGTCACCATTTTCCATCTCACTCTAGCTCTCACCCATGGAGTATCTTCTTTCCTCTTTCTTTGAATTTCTCAAAGCCGCCCACGCAACTCTCACGACCGCGGCGCTAATTAATGCGTGCGCGAACCACCAGCCGGACCGGACTAATCGGTTCAATTAAAGATACGCCCGATAGACGTTTGATTTATACAAAGATCGTTAATTAGTGAATTTTTGCAGAGAAAAAAAATTATCCCAACAGACGTCGCGACGCTCCGCGTCTTCGGTGAAATTGATAAAAAGTCATTCAACCGATTTTATGAGATGCGATTCTAATCGGGAGAGGGGGTAAAGTATAAATTTTTCTCTATACTTGAATTTTAATAATTAATCCTATAA